TAGTTATATAACAATTTATATGGACTGATGGGCTGGTGCATATCTGATTTGCATTATATTGGGTTTGATCCGAATCCAATTTGAATCCGATCGGATTTGATCTGAATCCGATTTGAATCTGATAATTTTATAAATTTAAAATTCGATTCGATTCGAATCTGATCAGATTAAAAATTTTGAAATTTGATCTGATCTGATTCGTATCTGATTCATGGATTAATCAAATTCGAATCAAAATTGTGAATACTAATGAGCTGTATAGCAATTAGTCAATTAACCATAAGTTTCTTTTTGAACTCACAAATAGTGATGATAGTATTTTAAAACTAAGGAATATACATACATCGCTCCTATCCTCTCCTTTCACATCACTAGTTTAGGACTTTGAATATATTGTAATTAGTATTAACTATGTTTTTTAAGGATTTTTATAGTTGATTAGTCCATTGGAACTAATTTTTTTACATATGATCAAAATTATTAACACATTCCCCTCACTCCTTTTTACCTTTTCCAGAGGATGAAACACCAGTGGCATTTTGAGTACGCTAGCCTTTTGAAATTGTATCCAGCAGACAATAGGGATCTTTATTAATATATTTTATAATATACTATATATAGGTTTAAAAGTTTATCTGGAGTATAGCTTCTCCAAATGAATGTACTTGTCTATTAATCTTCAATAAAATAGTTTGTTCTATTTTTTTTAATATACAGTATATATAACTTGATTGATTGATTATATGTATATTAAATAAGACTTTTTTATTAAGTTTTATAGATTTATTAATTATATAAAAATAGACATGCCTATTTATACTTTTGTTAATGAAGTTTCTACTGATTCTCAGGTTTTAACAATATATAATAAACTATTAATTAGAAAAGAAGCAATGCTTTATATTTAATTGTATAAGAAAAGAAAAAAACTAATATGTTTGCTTAGATGATATATATTTGCCATTAAACTTTTCATTGAGATTTGTTATAAATGATAGTGTGGTACCATTTAATTGATTTATTTCGATAACGACATTATTCCAATCTTGTTTATAGTAAAAATACAGTATTAATTAATAATTAGTTAAAAGTAATTGATAATTAAATATATTTTAATTAAACCAATTATTGATTAAATTAATTAATGAAAGATTTAATTAAAGTATTATTAATCGACAAGCGTTTGATAAATCAATAAAAATTAAACATTTTTAACTGCCAAAAGTTTTAATTAATTGATAAAAGTTTTATAAAACTCAAATAATTATTAATCAGTAAAATTTTAATTAAAGCAATCACTATTATAAGATTTGATTAAAGACAAATTGTTCTGTTTACTCTGAAGAATTCTGGTTAATAAAATAATTTGCACTTGAATTTTATTTTTGCATAACAAATATTTACAATATAATTTTACTAGATATCAAAAACGTATTCCATTTATTAGACTAAGCGATGCACTTTTTAGACGAATCACATGAAAAGTTATGGAAATAACCCAATAATGCTCATTGCGCCAAAATCATGTAAACAAGCGTGACTCCCATCACAAGAAAACTTATCAACATGCCATTCCATGCCTCAAAGCTCAGATTGCCGCTCCCGGTCGTCACAAGATCTTCGGGAACAGCAGCCGTTACCTGCTTCACCACTACCACAGTGCTTGGCGGAACATAGGTGGAAAATGGTGTTTCAATTCCATCGGTACCCTTGGAATATAAAGTAGTAGTATATCCAGGGAAATATTCGGTGATTGTGGTATACATGACAGTGGTGGACCACATAGTGGATTTTGCCTTCGGATTGGTGGTAGTAGGTGTGATTGTAATTACAGAAGTGCCTGAATCAGGTGGGACAGTTGTGGTAACTATATTACCGGTTTCGCTGGTATTTCTGTTGATTCGATAAAAAATGACGCTAGATCTTAGAGAAAAATAAAGACAACAAGAATACAAAACCAACTTAACTTACATAGTGGTATCTTCTTTACAGTTACTATTATTTTGACAAACATCCACGGTAGTTGTAGTTTGTGATGGAGGTATAAATACGGAAGTAGAAAATTGAGTGCTGCTGGAGGATTCTTCAATCGTGGAAGTTTCATTTTTTAGAGCGGAAGAAGTAGTGGTCGTATCGATAGTTGAGGAAGGAATGGAGTTAGTATCACTTGAAGAAGTAGCAATAGTGGTGGTTTTACTACTACCAGATGACGCTACTACACTTGACTCTACTACAGTTGATGCTATTACAGTTGATGACAACGACGACTGTGATGTTAGATCGATTGAAGAGCTACCTATGGACGATGATACTTTTATCGATGTAGCTGAAGTAGTAATGACCGTAGTATCAGGTATTGAACTTGTTTTACCTTGTGAAGTTGGAGTCGCAGTCGCTGTTGGAGTTTCTGTCGGGGTTGCTGGGGATGTTGCGGGCGTTGTTGGAGTTTCTGTCGGGGTTGCTGGGGATGTAGAGGGCGTTGTTGGGGCAGCCGTTGGACTGGTCGTAGGCGATGACGTAAGAGTCGGTGAAGCAACCGCTGGAGTGGACGAAGGCGTCGTTGGAGCCACTGGAGTGGCTGTTGACGTTGGAGCATCTGTTTGTGTCGACGCGGGAGCTGCTGAAGAAATTGGAGTTGAATTTTGTCTTTCTTGTATTAAATTTGCTCCAATGGATGCAACGAACACGACAGTTAGGAACACTATTAAAAGTTTCCTTCCGAGCATTGTAGAACCAACTGCCATTATTCTTCGATTCGTGTAACTTTTTGAGATATAAAAAAAAAAATGTTTTTTTTTCTTTTTTTTTTAATAATAAACTCTTTTATACTCGATTTTAAATATCCAAAAATTCTTAAGAGAAATATTTTAATAGAACAAGGGACAAAGGAATAATGTTATTGGAATGTGCCAAATGAGAAATCCAAAGTAAAGTATTTTTAAAACTAAAAATAAGAACTCGAAAAAAAAATTTTTTTTTTTTTTTTTTTTATTTTAGTCAATAATTCTTCCAGGCGCGCTTATTCAATATTACGACTCGCACCGTATTACTTTTCATAGGAGAATTGGTCTTTTTTATATTGAATACCGAAACCATTATAACATAGAATAGCGCAATGGCGGCAAGCAAATGCAACATAACAAGCGATTTTGATATAGGCAGAGAAACAGATGTTTAGTGGTACGACTCACCCCTGTACGTCGATGTACCTATTTCGGCACGATTATTCCATTAAAGGAGTGTATGTACATGCGTAAAGTGAACACGCACGTAACGATTGTGGTGCAATTTAAAACACGGTTGTGTAAATAGACCAGCACCTGGACAAGAAAGGCGTAATTGCATTATACTAAAATGAGGGCATTTTTCTGGAAAAGTTGAAATCGACTTATGCTTCTATTAATAGATATTTACACAAATTGTTTGATAATTTGTAACACGTATTATTGTTTAGGAAGGTCTGCGCAGTAAAATGCGACAAAAATAACCAGCACGAATTAGTCTATAATGTTCTTCTTTCAAATAATTAAAGGCATTCAACCTCTGAATGCTGTAGGACTTTCAATTTTTCGTGTTACATTAAACTTTTTTGTTTTTTTATGTAATTTAATAAACAATTATTTTTTTTTTTAACCCGCAGTTAGGTCAACATGTTAACTCACCTGTTATAGAAAAACTATTTCTCTAGATATAACTTAAAAATGATATTTCACTCCTTTGCTACTTCGGATTAATCATATATCAGTAAAATCATTGCTTACAGATTATTATTATAGGTTCTAGTTATTATTTAAAAATCATGTCATGATAAATCCATTCTTTAATAATTCTTGTACAGTCATTTTTCTTTTTCTTTTTTCTATCTTCTTGAATTAATTTTTTACTAGAAGTAATATAAACTCTTTTTAATCTTATATGGTTTATATTAATTTAATAAACAATTATTTAATTAAAATAAGATTTTGAATATATATAATTTGTAACCTAATTTAAAAATATTTAAGTTTTAATAATAATTAATTAATAATTTGATTTTAAAAATTTGATTTAAAGTTAAAAAAAATAATAAAAAAAAAAATTTTTTTTTATTTTGATTTATATTATAACTATAATATTTTTTGTTAAAAATTAATTTGATATAAATAAATAATAAAATTTATAAATATTATATCAATTTTTTTTTTAAAAGTAAAACAGGTCTACTTTATTAATTATAGTATATTATATATTACTTGAATTAATAAAACTATTTATTAACTCTTTTTCGCTATATATTTCTTATACCATTCTATTAAAAAGCTAATTGATTTTACAATTCCTTATGACTTATTGCCTCATTTGGGAACTAAAGTGCTTAGACTTTATTAGAACCAATATTGAAAATATAATAAGTATTATATAGTCCTTTAAGAATGTTATCTATTGCATCCAATGTATTAGCTTGCTATAATTTGTTTATTGTTGTTTTTACTTTTACATCTGTTCTCTATCAATTTCTTTTTCCTTTTTTTTTTGTAAATATTTTGTTAATTTTCTAATTTTTCTTTAATTATGATATTCTTTTATATCTATCAATTCAAATATTAAAGGTTAGAAATCTTGTATATTTTATAATGTTTTTCAAAATATTAATAAGCTTGTCATATTTCACTATTTCTACAATTAGATTGTTTAGAATTCTGTTAATTTTTTCTTTAAGAATAAAAATATTCAGGTTTTTTGTATTAAGTTTAAAACTTTGTTATTTGTTATTTGAGGAGATTTTTCATTTTTCCTGTAGTATAGTTCTCTATATTTATTTTTGTTTATTTTTTCATAGATGTTGATATTGTGTTAAAGATAAATAAAAGAGTGATCATTGTTTTCTATATTATTGCAACTATAATATTTATTTGGTTTATATATATTGAGATATTTTTTATATGATTTTGTCTATTATTGAGAGCTTTTGATTCTATAGTTTAATTGAAAAACTATATTATTGAGTGTTCTACTTATTTGTTTATGAGTTAGTAAGTTGTATTGGATAGAGAATACAAAATTATTTTCTATTCTATTTTTTATAGTTTGATTAATTGATATATATGTTTTTACTAAAATATTTTTAATTTATTATAAGTTGTACTTGATAGATTTGCTTAATGACCCCATGAATACTTTAAGTAATTTTTGCATTATTATTGAAGAAAGGTTGCAAGTAGTTGAATTTTAAACAGATGTCAAGAATTGTATTTAAATTTTTGTTATTTTTGTTTGATGCTACTTAATATATCAATTCATTAATTTTTTTGTGAAAAGGATTATTGTCTTGTTTAGACAGTTTGTATCAGGTTATTTTTTGTTAGAAGGTATTTATTACCTTTCAGAGATTTAGTAACATTGTTTTTTTCTGTTGTTTGATTATTTTATGTTTAGTTGTGAATTTGTGATAATTTTAAATAGGATTTTGTTAGTCAATATATATATCAATCACTTTGTCTTTTCTAACTATAATATATACAATAGTAATTGCTATTATTTCTAATCTACTGTATATGTTAATTCTTAATCTATAAATGTTGAGTTGAGCTTCAATTTTATATTATTTTGCAGAATGAAGATTATTTCTATTCCTATTCTTGATTTCTTATTTATTTTATAGATTTCATTAGTATATATTGTAATTTATTGCATAAATGACATCACTCTTTCTGCTGATTTTCTGACCATACACAAAAAAGACGTTCGCAATAAGTTTTCACACTTCTATGTTAATAAAGTCTTAATACTTTCTTTAAACCAACTTGAAAAAACTTCAAGAGTCATCACTACTTCTCTTCCTTCTTATTAATACTTCTCTTCAAGCAAAAACTTGACCGCTAGTGACCTGAAAGTCAAGAAACACCTTTCCTACCAAGAGCAAGAAAGTTCTGAAAGGAAGAAGAACTAATATGCCATCATCTCACACTGTAGAGAAACAACACAGAAGTTTTGTGATAATGAGAGACAACTTCTCCACTCTCTTGTCATCTGTTTGGTTTCTCATAATGCTCATTCAGGATTTTTTCTGGGGAATTTTGCCTACCTCAGTTTGACTCTGAATTTTGAGTAGCACAAAGTTTTTCATACCGTAATTGGACAGATAGAGATTATATTAGTAAAAAAAGTAAACAAGTTCCTATTGGTCATATCATGTGTCTGAATGCATTTCTTCAGCTCTATAAGAGCCTGGAGTCTGTCATAAGTCACATCTGGGATGCGGGTGGATACAGGACAAGCAAAACTCCTAAATTAGTGATATCTTGGAAAGAGAATTGTTGGAATTGAATTCATCAGATAGCCAACAAAGACCTCTCCCTCCTCTTCCTCTTCAACAAACATAACAACACCTGGGACAGTATCTTTTTGGAGGGTTTTGATACTCCCATTTTCTCATTGTATATTGACATATCCTTTGAACACAACTACCTCTCTTAAAATTTTTCTTTGGGACAATGTGTCTTGCTTAAGCACGTTCGTCAGGGGGAATCTAGGAGAATCGACAAATCTTCTTTCTCGGTGTATGAATTAGATTGATCCAAGTTATTCTCCTCGACAACAAGCCATCTCGTGGGTTGGAGTGGCCAGAATTTTATAACATGGAGACACTGAAAGCAGCCAAGGAACAGGCAATATGCCCTCGACCGATGAAGCCCTCGAAGAGTAACCAGCTTATAGAATCAAAGTGATAATAGTAATGTAAAATTCTTAACCACTCACAGAAAATTATAGGAGTGTTTTATTAGTAATTATTTCTTGTATATGCATTTATTTGCCATGTCTTGAAACTTTAATAAAACAAGGCTGAGTCACCGTTTCAAAAAAAAAAAAAATGTAACATTAAAATCAAATCTCTAACTAATACATTTATCAAAATTTTTATTCAAAATTCTAAATATAATTTCAAGAGTGATTTATTATTCCATTAGTAGTTCGAGTAAAAATTCTTTCAATTTCTAACTTTATCACTTGTAGATTACTACTACAGATTACTTTTCAAGTTCTGATGAGAATCAAAATCCAACTATTTTGTTCTATACTTAATCTTATTTTTTATAACTTCTATAGAATTTTTGTTTTACTATCTCTTTTTTCTTTTTTTTACTTTATGGTTTTATGATTGGAATTATCTTGCAAAACATCTTGTCTTTTTATTTCCTAGGCTTTCTTGTATTTTGCTCTTCTATTAACTCTTTGTTTCTATTTTTATTCTATAATTTTTTCACATCTTATATTTTAAACTTATTTATAAATCTGATTGTAACTCTTTTTTTAAATTCATTTTTTTGCCATTGTTTCTATCTTCTTATTATGACAATTTAGGTTAACAGCTTTTTTGATTATATTAGTTTCTATTAACCCTATAAAGCTGTTTCTATAAGTTTGGAGATCCATCTATTTATTTTACCTTTCTCTTTTCTATTATTGATTGATAATTGTATCATATTTTTGTCTACTTCCCTTTCTTATTTTGATATAACTTATTAAATTCTTTGAGAAATATTTCAAATTCTTTTTACCATACTATCATAATCTCGTTTTTGTAATCAGGACATTCTAATAGATGTTTGATTATCTTCTTTTATTGATAATATGCTATATATTTTGCTTATTTATATAAGTGAAATCTTCTTATTACTAGCTTACTTAAGGTAATAGTTTATCATTGACCAATTTAATCAGAAAACTTATTCTTTGTAAACCTTTTAAGAAGGTATCCTATGTA